CACACCTACTGGTTGCCTCCTGCACGACCCTGACCAGGGCTGGGGATGAACCACAACAGAGGTACGTGCCCTTGACTGGAATTGAACCTGCAAGTCATTGGTCTGTGGGCCGATGCTCTAACCGCTGAGCCAAACTGGTCAGGGCCTAGGCCATACGATTGACATCCACTTGTTATTAATAATGTTTGTCAGTTATGGATAATATCTATCTAGCATAGTTTGTTGAAATTTACTAAATAATAATAATAAAAAAAACCAGTGGTTCAAATTATTAAGTATAATTTTGTAAGTTTGACTGTCATTACTCAAAGTCCATGGCTGTGAAATAGATGTTTTCCACATATGTAAGTCATGTTTTTTTTGTTTTTTTTTTTAAGTAATTCTTTTTGCACTGTATTTCATGTAAATGTAAAAAAAACCCCCAAACACTGGCATGTAAAAGTTAAGCCATTCAGTATAGCTATTTCTGGAACTCAACAGTATCAGATTAGATTTTTTTTCTTAAACTACAAGAAAAACAAGATGCACAGTTACGCATTTCAGTGGGAAATAAATAGACTGGCGGTAATAATCATGGAGAAAAGTACCACAGAACCCAGATTGTCTCCAGGCTGCGCATTCATCCCGGAAACGTAGCGCGGACAGGATTCCAGCGAGCGCCCAGGTCCGCCTCCGCCTGCCCTGAACTCACCACGAAAATCTCGCCCACGTCTCTTGCTCCAAGGCAGGCTCTGGTTTGGACACTGCTATGCTCGGCACCCACCCCCATCTTAAACCACTCACAAAAATTAGCTCGAAATGAATCGAAGACTTAAATGTAAGACCCAAAGCCTCCTAGAAGAAATCCGAGGACATGCTCCTTGGCATCGGTCCCGGCGATGGTCCTGGGATACAACAGCAAGAGCGCAGGCGTCCAGTGAAAAACCAGGGGCGTGGGGCCACATCAAACTAAAAAGCTCCTGCACAGTCAAGGAAACAGTCAACAAAATGAAGAGGCAGCCTCCGGAATGGGAGGTAGTATTGGTAAGCCATCTAGCCGATAAGGGGTTAATACACACATATATTTATGTAAGGAACTCATACAACTTAATAGCAAAACAACAACCCAATACAAATGGTCAGAAGACCTGAATAGCCCTCTCCCCAAAGATGTACAGATGGCCAAGAGTGAATGAAAAGGTATTCGACGTCACTCATCAGGAGGAAAGTGAAAATCAAACCCCAGTGACCTATTGCCTCACCCGTTAGAAAGGCTGTTCAAAGAGACAAGAGGTACGCGTTGGCCAGTACGGGGAGAGAGGAAACCCTTGTGCGCTGTTGGTGGGAATGTATTCGGTGCAGCCACCATGGAAAACAGTATGGAGGTTCCCCCCGAAATTAGAAATAGAACTGCCACGACCCAGCAGTTCTTCTGGGTAGATGTCCGGAGGAAATGGAGTTACCCCCATGCCCATGGAAACGTTCTTCACAGCAGCCAAGACATGGAAAACCTAAGTGTCCACTGACCAATGAATGGATAGAAAACCCTTGGTGGATCTATACGATGGAATATTATTCAGTCATAAAAAAAACCCGCTGCCATTTGTGACAACAGGGATGGACCTTGAGGCCACTGTGCTAAGTGAGTAAGACGTACAATGTGCAACGTGGTGACTGTAGTTAACGATACTGTGCTATATACTGCGAAGTCATTACGAGAGTAGATCTTGAATGTTTTCATCACACACACACACACACGTAACGATGTGAGATGATGGAGACATTAACTAACCTTATTGTATTAACAGTTTTGCATTTTATACAAGTATCAAATGATAATGTTTAACTCCTTAAACTTACACAATTTATATGTCAATTATACCTTGATAAACCGGGCTTATTGGGAGGAGACTTTGGATTTAATACATGAAAGTGGGGAGCTATGGACAGAATTTGAGCAGAGGAGTGACACGATGTGGCTTACGCATTGGAGCCGTCACCTTGGCGCCTGGTGAACCGGCAGGGAGAGCGAGGGCGGGGCAGGGAGACCGGGGAAGAGGCCTTGCACGAACCCACTGGCTCAGGAGAGAGCGCTGGTGGCCTGGAGTCGGAGCTCACAGTGCTCAGAGGGGCTGAGGTTCTGTTTTGAAGAGAGAGCCAAGGGTGTTTGCTGACCGACTGGATGTGGCTTGGCCGAGAAAGAGAGGCGTCGGGGATGAAAGAAGTGTTCTGGCCAGTGTCCCCCAGCCGGTGACTGCCAGTCAGGAACCACAGGACACAACTCGGCCCATTTAGAACCGGGTTTCTGCTTTCTTGTCTGCTGCTTAATTCTTCTGCACCAGACTGTAGCCACGCTCGGAGAGACCGCAAGTGAGTCATTCACTGCCAGGACTTTAAGAAGCTGCGTTCCAGGATGCGCACATGCCAGCAGAGCTGGCCCTCGGGCAGAGCGTGGGTTTGATGGCAAAAGTAAGGGAAGGACACAGGCACAGCTCCGGGACTTAAGTCTGTAGACATTCGCCCTTCCCCGAACGCACAGTCGCCGTCATTTGGGTCTTTTGGGAAGAATTCACTTATTCAGAAACGGCTTGGCGAGTGACGGCTGCACAGCAGACTACCACTGTCTGCGGGGACCCTGCTCTGACAGCGCCGTCTGGGGGGAGACGCAGAAACGCCATCGAGTAGGGGAACCCGAGGAGATTAGTGATGGACCAGCGGTGGGGATGACGTTCCACGGGGACAGAGGAGGACCCGACTTCATTTCGTCTAGAGGACTCGGGACAGCTTGTGGGAGCGGGGGCGGCTTACCGTTGATCATGTCGGGAGCTGGGACGGCCTTCGAGGCGATGGGAGCAAACGCAGGAGCTTGAAAGGGGGTGACATGGGACGCACACGCTCGGTAAGGCTGAGGTTTGGGAGCACGTGGGCAGCTGGCAAATGCAGTCTGACAGGTGACGCCGGTACCCGGTCTTGAACCACCTTGTACGGGACGATGAGAGACGGAGATAAATCCCGTGGACCGTGGGAATTATCTAAGAGCTTTCGGCAGGGAAACGAAACGATTTGATTAAGGCCTTCGAGTGATTCCTGGTGATGTTGTGGAGAAGAGATTGGAAAGGGAGGTGACCCAGGCCTGGGAATCGAGCTGGCCTGCGGCATTCGTCCTAGCAAGGGACAGGGGCCGCCTGGGGCGGTGTGGAGGGGCCGCTGAAGGGTGCTGGAAGGGGTCCTCGGCGCAGGTGGGTTGAGAACGGGGTGCGGTGCCTTCGCAGCGGGTCGAAGAGGACCCCGGGTGTCTGTTTGGAAAGTGGATGGAGGATAACGCATCTCCGTGTCCGGGAGAGTCACCCGTGGTGGCAGTCACTGAAACGCCATGGCGAAGTTCAGAATGAGGTCTGGCTGGAGACTTCAGCCAGACAACGCTCTAACCACTGAGCAATTCCATTAATGAAATATTTCTTAGATGTTAACCCGTCATTTTTTAAATTTTTTATTTTCACTTGAGGATATTTTTTTCATGTGTCTTCAGACAGAGTGGGAAAGAGGGGGCTTGAGAGGGAGAGAGAGAGAGAGAAACATCGATGTGAGAGAAATACATCAACTGGCTGCCTCCCGCATGACCCTGACCAGGGCTGGGGACAAACTGCAACTGAGGTACGTGCCCTTGACTGGAATCGAACCCACAACTCATTGGTCCACAGGCCGACATTCTAACCACTGAGCAAAAAACAGCTAGGGCTAACCTGTCATTTTTATGGAAATGCAACAATTTATTTTTATATCCCTAACAGCAGAGGCAAAAACTTGTAGCAGTACGTGTATCGCATAAGAATGTTATTTCGTACCCCTAAGAGTGATGGCAAAACCTCTTAGCTGCACACATAATTCATACCGTTTACAGATACCCTTGTAAAACAAAACAAGAAACACACACACACAGAATGACAGATGAGTGCCAGCAGGATCGTAGCGTGACTAGGTGTTCCGACCCTGCTGCCGGCGTGGCGTGTCCGGACCGCTGAGACATTTCAGGCCGACTCAGATGCCAGAGGTACAAGAGCTATGGAAACAAGCGTCAGGTTTTGCTCCGTGATCCTCGTCCTGGTTCTTACAGGGAAATGATTCAGTGCCAGTTAATGAAAATGTACCGTATAGATGGGACCTATGCAACCATAAGTTATGGGACGATATTACACCGATGGTTAAAGAGTATTTATAATTGTCGCAACTGTGCAAACGTAAGGACACCAACAGGGACTCACGGGACAAATGTTAAAAATGAAAACCACCCGAATGGTAAGTTATAATGTCCCTCTCTCCAAAGGAGCGTTCCTGTCGGGACAACTTTTCAGCGGTTTCTTAGAAGGTACATGTGACGTTGCAATAAAGGAAGCACGCATCTGGACACGCTCCGAACACGCTCATGCAATGTCCCGTGGGTGCCTGGGGAGGGTGGTAGGAAGACCAGGGGCCACGGACTGAGGCCGAGGAGGGGGTGAGGAGGAGAAGACAAAGGGATGAGAACTCAGAGTGGCAGCCGCATCTCTTCCTCTGCGGAAGGGAGTCACCGTGGATGCCAGCGGGGGCTCGTGACCACAAAGGGGGAAGCTGCATGTCACAGCAGGTGTCGCACGAGGTCGGAAGGAAAGCAGGACCACAGTGACCGCCTTTCCTTGACACCGTCCGCGTGCTGGGGACAGTGACACGGTCTGGGGGCAAGCCCGCCGTGGAGCAGCGGAAGACTTGAATTCAGGCTGGCGGCGGAGCTGAGGGAACCGCATTTGTTTGACACGTACACTCGCTTTTGTTGACACGTTAACCACAGGTGAAGAGGAGGAGAAGCCGCAGGGTGTAGGGTTTGTACGAGTAAGGGAACGTAATAAAAAAAAGTTATCAGTATTGCAAAGACTTTCCGCGACGGCACACCCGCCCCGGAGGCCCCCTCATGCCACAGGAAGTGCGCTGACCACCGGGGATAAAAGGGCTCCTGAGCCGCCTGGGCTCATCCTCCGGCTCAGCTCAGCTCAGCAGGACCGCAGCCATGAGACCTCTCCTCCTGGCCCTTCTCGGGCTCTGCTGCCTCACGGCACCCGGCGTGGAAGGTGAGTGGCGAGGCCGTGCGGCGGGTGGGCACACCCTTGGCTTTGGACTCGGGGGTAGACTGGAGTCTGCTGCTCCCCCAGCCTCAGGCTTCCCAGGTGCATAGTGGGAGTGATGGTTTGGGCTTGAGGGGACCTTGTCGGTCCCAAAGACGGAACTCGGTTAGACTCCGGGCTCCTACTTTTCATAATGGGGTGATTTGGGGTAACTCTCTTCATCTCTCCGGGTCTACGCTTAGGTATCTGTAGGTTGAGTATAATAACAGATACCATCACCTGGGATTAAAATGAAAGAAATCTTAGGATCGCTGGTCAGACTTCCTCACAAGCTGCGGTTTCTTGATCCATGTTAGCTGTGGGACAGCGGTGACCCCGGTGTGTGCCTTCACAGCTGTTGCCTGTGTGACACCGACCTTGATAAATTCTCAGCGTTTCTGAGAGTTCAGCACACGGTGGGGGGCAGCGAGAGGGTGTATGTTCTGGAGAAAAGCAGTGTTTTCTATTTTAAAAAAACACAACTGGAAGCTTATACCTTCCTATGAGGAAGTCGGCATTACCTTCAAGTATGTGGGAGAATTTATGATACTGTTATGAGTGAGGTTCCCATTTGTGACAAATTCTTGAGCCTATAAGAGACCATAGGATAAGTGCCAATAGTTCAGCGCCTTATACTCAGCCGAACAGACCTGCAGGAGATGCCGATGAGGCTTAGACGTGCAGAGCTGTCCCTGAGCGCTCTCCCCATATTTCCTCAAGGAGTGTTCTTTTCCCAGAGGGTTAGAGTGTATTTCTGGAATAAACTCTGTGAAATACCCTGTGATAAAGTTTTTGGCTCTGGAACAAGAGAGACTGTCCGTTGGGTGTAATCAATGCTGCAGTCAGCTCCTCTCTGACCCTCCTAATCTGTAGACTTACCTCTTAGACTAGACTAGCTAAGCCTGATCACAGGTCCCCAAGGGTGTCCATGGATAGAGGTGGCCGAGTGTGGAACTCCCGGCAACTGTGAGCCGAATGAGAACAATCCACGAGATTGATGAGACAAAGTTTCAGACTCGAACAGGAGGCCAAATACTGCAACGGGGCTGGCGTTTCGCTGCCACGGTGCACGGGCTGTTGGCTGCGGACCCCGGCTTGGGTAGGGGAGATGGGGCACTGTTAGATCCGGGGGGCACTGCAGACGCCTGGCTCCAAGCCCCAAGCTTCCCACCGGAACGATCTCCCCAAGGCCTCTGGCCGTAGCTCTCACGCACAAAGCCGGGCAAGGCGATCTGAAATCCGGGCTTTGACTTGGCTCTGCGGAAGGTGACGTCCTGACGGACAGAACACAGACACGCAGACATGGCCAAGAGGAAGAGGAAGCTCGGGGATTCAGCTTGGGAGCCTGGGTTGGCTATTTCACAGAGAACAATGTTATTTCTTAAGTAGTGAGAGAAGCGGAGAGGAAAAGCAGGTTTCTGTCTTTCACGGGGTTCAGAGGAGTTCAGCACTGACCAGTAAATCGGCCAAGACTGAGGCTGGAAGGAGCGGACTGGGTGTGGGAGCCACGGACAGGAGAGGCGAAGCAGGGCGCGGTCAGCGGACACCTTCGTTTAGTATCACGTTAGAAAAAGCCCCCTGGTCTCGGCAACACTATAGATGACACCTGACCACCGTGAGCTGTTCCTGAAGATGCTTTTTAGCTGAATATTTCTCTGGGAAGCAGCTACCAGTGTCTTCAGCTTAGGAGAAAACCAGCACCTAGAAACCTTGATTAAATTTTCAGACTCCTCACATTATTAACTCCCCCGAGTTCCATTCTCCGACGTGAGACGGGAGCATCCCCCGCGGGCCATTTCTGTGGAGGGGGGACACTTTCTGAGCGTCTCCCTTTCTGCCGCTCACATCTCGCCGTGTAAAATGAGGACACCTTTTTCTATTGACTCAAAACCCAGCTGTCTCCCCTGTGTCCGATGCTGCCTTCCTCACATTCCTCTTCCTCACACCACTCTTGGTTATTTCATCTGCAACCCTGTAACACTGGGACTACTTGCACTGAGTTCACTCTCTGGCTTGTCTGCTTGGGTGTCTTCTCCAGGTGTGGGGAGTGAAGCTGTGGAGCAGAGAATCTGCGTGAGTCTCACCACCCGGCAAGTGCCGGTGAATAGGATCAAGACCTACACCATCAAGGAGGGGACCATGAGAGCCATCATGTGAGTGTCCCCCAGGCTGGGTGTGTGGGCCAGGGCTCGGGAAGCTGCTTTCCTCAGGGCACAAGCCAGTGTGGGAGGAGACCTCCACTGAATGAAGCGCAGAATGATTGTGGCAACAATGTGGCGACCCGAGAAAGAATGTCCCCCTCCTTCTTGATGTAGTTCAGCAGGAGACTCTGATGGAAGTCGGAGGAGTGCTGAGCTCAGCCCTGAGGGTTAGGGGTACAGATGGCTGGTTCCGATCACAGTTGGACCCTATAGCCATATTCATGTGCAATCCTCCCCTCCCTCCCCTCCCCTCTGCCCCCTCCTCTCCCCCCCTTCCTATGGCGTGTTTCGATATGTTATCAGTTGCCATATCGCAAGAAAAGGTGTCAAGATACTAGCCTACACAGCACTTGCTCTCTTCTCAGGATCTCCTTTTCAGAATAGCAGTTCTTCCCAACGCACGACTACAACTTTGCCCAAAGATACTAAGATAAAGACATGACCCTTTGTTCAGAACGGGAGATGAGTGCATTTAGGTTCGAAAGGGAAGGCGATACATAATAGCTGGACCAGACGGCGTCCGTTTAGTTAGTGTTGGGAGGCGCCAATGAGCAAAGGGGCCTGGGAATTGTGGGGAACAAAGGAGCTGGGAGTGACCTGGAGATGTTTCTCTTTCGTGTTACAACAAATTGCACCAGGAAGGTTTCCATCTATGGGCTCGTGGTTCTGAAAGACTGTTCTGTCCAGTAATTTCTACAAGAGCTCTTATAGTCGGTCCGACCTTAACTCCTGGTGCCAAGGCCTTGAGGGTGTGACTCACTTTGTCTGTCTTTTCCTTCCGCGGCAGATTTTTCACCAAACGTGGGCTTAAAGTCTGTGCGGATCCACGAGCTGATTGGGTGAAAAGAGCGGTCGAAAAAGTGGACAAGGACAACAGCAGCAACAAGAGCCAGACCAAGGCTGCCGGGACCCAACAGCCCACCAGAGCAGCTGTGACCAGGAGGCGGTAGTGACCTTGTCCCCTCCCAAACCAGCCAGCTGACTTCTCCTCACAAGCTCCCGTACTAACGACATGATATGCACCTTTTCTAAAAGCATCGCCTGTGTTAGATGATTTTCTTGTATTATTTTTCCCTTTCATGTTTTTCCTCCTCATTCAGCTGCTCGAATGAATAAATATTTATTACTAAGAATCGTCCCAAGGTCTATTCATCGCGCATGGGGACAGGCAATGTGTCGTTTCTGTTCTATTTCTGTCCCATCGGGATCTCCCTTTGATGCTGGGGGGGGGGATGGGAGGGATTGGGGGCGCCGCGGATCGGAGGAGAAAGCTAGATTCATCCTTCTTAAGTTCCAGTCTGAAATGGGTGCACAGTGGCAGAAATTCAAGGTCTATGAAAACCTGCCTTCCTAACGGAGCTCCCTTTTGGGAATAAGGAGAAAATCCAGCTGTTGCTGGGCTCCTGTCGAGGGTCACTTAAGTGGCTTCACTGTTGGGGTTCGAGCAGAGTCTCTTCTCTCTGTGTTTCACTTGACCTCCTGGGGAAGGAAAAAAATATGAAGACGGGCTTCTCAGTTCTTCTATTTGTCAGGGTAGCAAAATGAAACTATTCAAATAAAAGTCAGTGTTCTTTGCAGTGGGCACCGACCTGGCAGCCTTCCCGTATTTGTCATGACTCTAGCTACCTCCCAAGGCGTGCCTTTCTGCTCTGAACACCCCAACTCTGTCACCGGCAACATTTCTTGGAGGCCATTGCAACTGGCAGGGAAGCTTTTGTTAGATGTTCACGGGGCCGCTTACCACCCAGACGAGCGCTCTGGTGCAGCGTCATTAAGTTGCTGATGTGAATCCTGCTCACGCCCCGCTGTCGCGGTGGCTGGTGATGTGCCTCCAGGTCCACCCGACTCCTCACAGCAAGAGCCAACTAGGCCTTGATCGTTCTATGGGAAGAAAAAGTACCCGCCGTGGCCTGGTCCTCAGCAATTTCAAGGTCTTTCAGAGGGTCACCGAGGGCAGCTCGCTCTGGTTATCCCGGCAGCGGCCCAGAGTGGCCGGCGGTGGCAGCCACCTGCTGGTGGAAGGCGGGTCTTCTACCTTCCTCACTGCGTCTGCCCGGACACTTTCCCAAGCCAGCCTGCAAGAGAGCGCACGCTCAGAACAGAACACCTGCCTCGGGAGGGCGACGCGTGGCCAAGAGATGGGAGACCACAGGCAGGGTCCCCGACTGAAACGTGTGTTTGTGCTTCCCGCGTGTCTCCCAGACCAGAGGTTTCCACGAGGTAATGCGATGGTACGTGGAGGAAGACAGGTGTGCTCATCTTGTTAACTTAGCACATTATCTACGATGGCGTGTGCGATGCCAAGGGGTTTCAGCCAAGTGGTGCACGCGACGCTGAGCTGACTGACTGCAGGTTTTGAATTCGTGTAGGTAGGACCTGAGTCTACTAACTACATCTCTGTGGTTTATTGGGTTTCAACGCAATTCAAAGAAATAATCTAAGAAACAGAGATTATCTATCTATCTATCTATCTATCTATCTATCTATCTATCATCTATCTATCATCTATCTATCTATCATCTATTATCTATCTATCTATCTATCTATCTATCTATCTATCTATCTATCTATCATCTATCTATCATCTATCTATCTATCATCTATCTACCTATCATCCATCTATCTATCTATCTACCTATCTATCATCTATCTATCTATCTATCTATCTATCATCTATCTATTCTCTCTCTCTCTCTCTCTCTCTCTCATCTAATTTTTTAAGTGGCTACAACCCCTCCTTTCTGCACCTATGGCATCTTGTACTTACCTTTAACCCAAAGCTTAACAATTTGTATTGAAATTGCTCCTTTGCCCGACTGTGCTCCCCACTGCCCCCTGCTGTCAGACTAGAAGCTGCTTGTGTGTATTATTTTTTCTTGTCATCCTTTTCTATTACCTGTATTGGGGGTAATCTTGTATATAAACTTATATGTAAATTTATTGGGGTAACATTATATAAATTTCAGGCATACATCTTTATTTGTTTTGGTGTTTGCTTTTGCTAAACCTCACCTGAGGATATTTTTCCGTTGATTTTTAGATGGAGTGGAAGGGAAGGAGGTAGAGAGAAACACCGATGTGAGAGACACGTTGATTGGTTGCCCCCCGCATGACCCCAAGACCCCAACTCAGGTACGTGCCCTTGACTGGAAATTGAACCTGAGTCCCTTTGGTCTATGGGCCAGTGCTCTAACCACTGAGCAAAACCAGCCAAGGGCATACATGTTTATAATAGGACATCTGTATACTCTATTGTGTGCTCACCACCCAAGTCTAGTCTCCTTCCTTCCATCACCATATATATGACCCCATTTACCCTCTTTGTCCTCCCCACTTCCCCTCTGGTAACTACCATTCTGTTTTCTGTGTCTGTGAGTCTCTTGTGCATTTGTTTTGTTAGTCTGTTGCCTTTTGTTTTGTATCTCATGTGAATGAAATCATATGGTTCTTGTCCTTTTCCATCTGACTGATTTCACTAGATTTATTCATGTTGCAAACGGCAGTATTTCACCTTTTTTATGGCTGAGTAGTATTCCATTGTATAGATGTACCACACTTCTTCTTTTTTTTTTTTTTTTTAATGAATTTATTTATTTATTTTTTTGTTACAGATATTTTACCTTTTTACCCCATTGGCACCCCCCACCCCACCCCACCTCCACCCTGTCCCCGGCTTAGTTGTCCATGTCCATTGGTCATGCATACATGCATATAAGTTCTGTGGTTTATCTCTTCCCACCCTCCCCCACCCCCCATACCCTCTTCCGAGGGATGTCAGTCTGTGCCCTACTTCCATGTGTCTGGGTCTATTGTATTCCTCAGACTGTTATGTTCATTATATTCCGTATATAAGTGAGATCATGTGGTATTTGTCTTTTTCTGCTTGGCTTCTTTCACTTAGGATAATACTTTCCAGGTCCCTCCATGTCGTCTCAAAGGATAAGAGATCTTTCTTTCTTACCGCTGCATAGTACTCCATTGTGTATATGTACCACAGCTTTTTTATCTAGTCGTCTACTGGTGGACACTTGGGCTGTTTCCAGATCTTAGCTATTGTAAATAGTGCTGCTATGAACATGGGGGTACATATATTCTTCCTGATTGGTGTTTCAGGCTTCTTAGGGTATATTCCCAGCAGTGGGATCACTGGGTCAAATGGAAGTTCAATTTTTAATTTTTTGAGGTAGCACCATATTGTTTTCCATAGCGGCTGCACCAGTCTGCATTCCCACCAGCAGTGTATTAGAGTCCCCTTTTCTCCATACCCTCGCCAACACTTGTTGTTTGATGATTTGTTGATGGCGGCCATTCTGACAGGTGTGAGGTGATACCTCATTGTTGTTTTAATTTGCATCTCTCTGATGATTAGTGATGTTGAGCATTTCTTCATATGTCTCTTGGCCATTTGTATGTCCTGTTTGGAGAGGTGTCTATTCAGCTCCTCTGCCCATTTTTTAATTGGGTTCTTTGTCTTCCTTTTGTGGAGTTGTATGAGCACTCTGTATATATTGGAAATTAACCCCTTATCTGATACATCATTGGCAATGATGTTCTCCCATACAGTGGGTTGCCTTTCCATTTTGATGATTGTTTCTTTTGCTGTGCAGAAGCTTTTTAGTTTGATGTAGTCCCATGTGTTCATTTTCTCCTTTATTTCTGTTGCCTTAGGTGATGTATCAGTGAAAATTCGGCTCCGTATGATGTCCGAAATTTTGTTGCCTACATTTTCTTCTAGAATTTTTATGGATTCACGGGTCACATTTAAGTCTTTTATCCATTTTGAGTTTATTTTGTGTATGGTGTAAGTTGATGGTCGAGTTTCATTTTTTTGCATGTAGCTGTCCAATTTTCCCAACACCATTTATTAAAGAGGCTGTCTTTACTCCACTGTATGCTCTTGCCACCTTTGTCAAATATTAATTGAGCGTATTGCCTTGGGTCCATTTCTGGGTTTTCAGTTCTGTTCCACTGGTCTATATGCCTGTTCTTGTGCCAGTACCAGGCTGTTTTGGTTACAGTCGCTTTGTAGTATAACCTGATATCCGCTATTGTGATCCCTCCAACTTTGTTCTTCTTTTTCAAGATTGCTGTGGCTATTCGGGGTCTTTTTTAGTTCCATATGAACTTTTGAAGTATTTGTTCTAGTTCTATGAAATATGTCGTTGGTATTTTGATGGGGATTGCATTGAATCTATAGATTGCTTTGGGTAGTATGGACATTTTAATTATGTTAATTCTTCCAATCCATGAACAGGGTATGTGCTCCCACTTTTTTATATCTTCCTCTATTTCTTTTTTCAATGACCTGTAGTTTTCTGCAAATAGGTCCTTTACTTCTTTGGTTAAGTTTATTCCTAGGTATCGTAATTTTTTGGCATGATGGTAAATGGGATTGTTTTTTCAGTTTCTCTTTCTGTGACTTCATCATTGATGTACAAGAATGCCGTCGATTTCTTGACGTTAATTTTGTATCCTGCTACTTTGCCAAATTCATTTATTAAGTCTAATAGATTTTTGATGGAGTCTTTAGGGTTTTCTATGTACAATATCATGTCATCTGCAAATAATGACAGTTTCACTTCCTCCTTTCCAATTTAGATCCCTTTTATTTTTTCTTCATGTCTGATTGCTGTGGCTAAGACTTCCAGTACAATGTTAAATAAGGGTGGCGAAAGTGGACATCCCTGTCTTGTTCCTGTTCTTAATGGAAATGTTTTTAGTTTCTGTCCATTGAGTATGATGTTGGCTGTAGGTCTTTCATATATGGCCTTTATTATGTTGAGATATGATCCCTCTATTCCTACATTGCTGAGCGTTTTTATCAGAAATGGATGCTGGATTTTGTCGAATGCTTTTTCAGCATCTATTGATATGATCATGTGGTTTTTATTCTTCATTTTGTTTATGTGGTGTATCACGTTTATTGATTTGCGAATATTGTACCAGCCTTGCATCCCTGGAATGAATCTCACTTGGTCATGGTGAATAATTTTTTTGATGTATTTCTGGATCCGATTTGCTAGTATTTTGTTCAGGATTTTGGCGTCTATGTTCA